GCATGCATGTAATCCCAGAGCTGGGAAGGCTGAGACAGGAGGATCAGTTATGAGCCTGAGCTACATATGGAAACCCTGTACCAAATAAATAAATAAATAAATAAATAAATAAAACTGAAATGATACAGCATAAGGAAAAACAGTAAATCAGTATGTAGTGATTGTCCAGTTTTAACAATGACCAATATATTCTACCACGTTTGATTTACATTACCGTCCACTTCTCTTTCAGTAGTTTTTGTTTTTTGAAACAGGGTGTCGCTATGTAGTTTAGGCTGGCTCTGAACTCCTGGACTCAAGTTACCTTGGCTCAATTTCTTCAGAGATGGGACTACTGGCATGTGCCACTCTGCCTAGGTCTGAATTTAGGATATTTATAAATTGTCAGAGGTGTGTTCTGATTTACATTCCACACTATCCTTGTTCTTGCTCACGAAAAATTTCGTCTGTATCTTTCTTTCAGGTGTCTGCTTTTGTAGAATTTTCATCTCCCAGAGGGTCACTCTTTGTAGCAGCATATATCATCCCATAATTGAAGATCGTTAAACGAATCACTTTCCAGTCATCTGTCTTTTTGTTGACAATATACCCTTCTTGTCCATTAGCAGCAATAATTTCCGTTTTTTCTTCCTTTATTTCACTAAATCTTTCAACTCCTCTCATTACACCAACTTAATACACAATAAGACATATGTCAGAAACAATATGCTAATCTCCAAATTAACCGGTTTGCTCGTCTGGCTTTATTAATACCAGGAATAATACAGACGAGACGAGGGTGAAGAGATCCTTATTTGGCTTTAGTAACAAATACTTGGGAAAGCGAAACACTTATTGGAGTTGGGGGTTTCTGTCTCTTTCTGCATCAAATATATATAATGAAAAAAGTAAATGTAGAAAATCCTGTTTTTCAAAAGCCAGCGATGGGGCTGGAGAGATGGCTCAGTGGTCTAAAGCACCTACTTGGAACAAGCTTGGCAAAGCACAGGGACCGCGGTTCAATCCCCCAGCACCACATGCCAGCCAGCCCCGCCCCCTGGTGGGCTGAGCTGGCCACACACACACACACACACTAAAGGAATAAATAAATAAATAAAAGCCAGCGAACAGCGACCTACATCTCAGCAGGTCCTCTCACAGGACCAACCCTGGGAGAGAAAATCAGAAGCGTTCGTTCGGCAGAATAAGAGAGGACCTTATTCTGCCGAAATAAGCACAGCTCACTCACTTGGGGCAGACACCATGAGAAGCTCGGAAAGGTCCGGGTACATGCGGTCTTCTTCCAACTGTAGGTCGATAAGCCGCCCTGCATTTTCCAGAGCTTCTTGTAGGGCTGAGGTCGACGTGGAGGCCGGCATCGGCGTACCGAGTGAGGAAGACGGCATCTCGAAAACAGTAGCCACCAGAGTTCACAAATGGTCAAATTCCAAGAAGAAACGCCACAAGACCCAAAAAGCTCACACACCCCGCTTAGGGCGCGCGCGCCAAACGAGCATTTGGGCGCCTGGTCATGACGCACTTCCTGCTCTGGGCGTGGGGGCGGGGACTCGAGGTCGCCTTTTGGGTATTGGGAAGGGAAGCTGCTGATAGGGACGGTCGCTGAGGGTGGAGCAAGGGGCGGGGACTCTGGGGATCGGGAGGGGGCGGGGCGGGGGCGGAGGACAGGGGAGGAGGACTGGGGAGGCTGGAAAAGCGAGGCGAAAAAGGAGATTAATTAGGGACGGGGGAGAGGGGCGGGACTGAGGAAAGACAGGGGCGGGAGAGGGGCGGGGCGGGACAGGGTTGGTTGGGCTGGAAAAGGGAGGCGGAACCCGGAAGTGTGTTCCGGAGTCCGGAGGCGAGGTTGCTGAACCGTTTGGCCTGGGTTCTGCCGCGCGCGGGTACTACGTCTCGAGCTTTCCTAGGAATCCAGCAACTGCAGCTATTAAAAGAGTGAAATTAATTATATAAAGGGGTAGCCGAACGCAGCTACTGTGATACCTCAATGGCAGTGTGGAGGCTAAACGCCAGGAGAGAACTTAGTTTTCTACTTTGAAGAACAAAGTGCTTGCTTCATCACTTGGCAATGTGTTAGGTAAAACACATACAAGTGAACGTAAACATCCCTTTGTTGTTTCTTCCCAAGGATCTGTAACGCATTTCTCACAGTTGAAGAAACTCTGAAGAACGCAGTGTCTTTAAGGGCTTTCTGGGCAGTCCCTGCCAAATTGTTTCCTTTAATGTGTAACTATTTTTTTTTTTTTTTTTTT